TATGGTAATATTATTGTTATTATTATTATATTATTGGTAATAATATAAAGTGAGCACTGCAAACTTTGTATACTGTGTTGTAATAGAAATCAATACATTTGAAAATGTAGACAAACGTCCAAAATATTTAATAAATTTCAATTGTTTAACAGTGCGATTAGTCACGATTAATTTTTTTAATAACAATTAATTTTTTTGAGTTAATGGCGTGAGTTAACTGCGATTAATCAATAGCTCTAATACAAATTGGATAAACATATTCAGTAGATCATAACTTTTTCAATGATACCTCACATGATCTCTCTTGCATAAAACATATCTTAGCTATGCCATATTCATATCATAACAATATTTCTAAGAAGAATATGGGGTGTAACATCACAGTTATTTCCTGACATGCTAAGATATTGTCCTGAGGGTAAAGCCAGAGAATGGGGTAATCCTCTCTATCAGCCCTTACCAAGGACTCATTTTTCCTCAGATCAGACTGGCAGGGACCGTGGTAGGTTTTCACCTTCTTCTGAAGCCTGGGGTACAAGTCACTTGCTAGGATCATCTGAATACATCTCACCAATTCAATTCTCTGCCATTTCAGGGGTTTCTGACATTGATGCACAATGGTCCCTCCTGTTCTCTGCCCATGGCACACAACAGTTTAGTTTCCTGAGGGCTTAATACTTTGGTCTAATTTTGGTTGGTGGGCTTGGTATCAGGGTACCTGGCTGATGTTTAATGGCCTGTGATATACACGAGGTCAGACCAGATGACTGGTTGTCCCTTCTCGCCTTAAACTCAATTATTCTATTCTGTACATCATCACTTTAAAAAGAGAAATACCATTTGTTATTTTATCATTGTATTACTGTAATCTCTTCAATAACAATAATAATTCAAGTACTAAATAGAAGAGTAGCTTCCCACCATCTGACTGGTCTATTTAGACTGTAAACTCTTTGCAGCTGGCACTATATGCGTTGTATCCAATACAACCAGGTCCTGTTCTCAGTTGAAGCCTCTGGGTATTGCTATAACAACAACAAATAATCAAGATATGTTTTTTAAGATGGAAATGGGTTAAGAGAACTCAGAGAAGACTGTCCTGTCAATTAGTTTTAGAACGAAAGAGGTTGTGTTTTTCTTTTTGTTTTTTAACAATGTTGTCCAAAAGTCTCCTGGTTTAAAAAAGAAAACAAAAAAATATTTTATGTAATAGCTCTTAAAAATGTTTAAGATTCCTGGACTGTTTTCCTATCAAGTCATATTTTGGCCTTCTTCTTTGTAGTTTTGTAGTAACTAAGCCCTCCCACCCCTCAAGTTATAAATGATTACTATTTAAGAATTGCCCAGGCATCAAGTCCTTTTAGAAAAGATTGAATGGAGGGCTAAGAGAATAAAAATCTATAGTCTAATGGCTAGATTTTCTTCCATAGTCTGAGGAAACTCAGAGTTGCTGCAGCCTTTTGCAAGCTGATGCACCTAAAGAGATTTCCCCCTCTCCCTGTTTGTGAATGAATGAATGAAAATAGTAATAAGATTAATATCAGACTTTGATATTTATATGATGTGCCAGATACAGTAGTAAAATGGGGACCTTGATGGAATCTAATATTCTAAACAAAATGGGTATAAGAGGGAAGTCAGCCATAAGGGATGCAGCTGTGAGCAAAATATTGTAAACTTTAATGCCAGAGTTTACCTCATGGGCAATCCAGTTAGGAGAGAGGGATTGTGTTCATATTGATTTATTTTAGCTAAATAGATTGTGACCCTAAAAAACCTCTCGGCAAACAGGTTCAGTATTCTGTTGGCAACTCCTATTAGGTCTGACAAACTCATTACACCTAATACACTGTTTTAATAGTGTTTATCCAAAAAGTGTCTTGTGAGGTAGCCAATGAAAACCAGTGACACTCTGGTCATTAATATCACTGTGAAATTTATGTATTAATACTGTGTGATGTTATGCTGTAAAGTCTGTAACAAGGTAGAGTGGACAAGCAGGTCTTCTGCCAGACAAAACATGTCTATTCAGCTATCCCTGTCTCTAATGTAAATTAAGCATTGTGAAACCAAGTACATCGGACCCCCACTAGAATGCAGGGTTTTGGATCCATGCGCGGTCCCGCATTAACTCAGGAACCGCGTTATAGCGGGGACCGCGTTACCATGGATTCCAATGAAGGTAATTAAATTTGGGATACATGTGCGGTCCCGCGCTATAACCGAATTCACACTATAAAGACGCGCATTCTAGCAAGGGTCTGTTGTACAACGGGAATTGCCCTTGCAAGTGAAGTAAACAGGAAAAAACAAGTTAATAGGGGGATGTAAAATCAGCACATCACTGACACATCAAAGAACCAGCAACTGGGGAAGGAGAATCTTATCTGGGGATATACTTCAAAAGGATATTTTCAACTATAAGCTCTTTGGGGCAGATTTTGTCTTTTACTATGGACGATAAGAAGGACAAATAAATCTGTTAGTCTCTAAGGTGCCACAAGGACTCCTAGTTGTTTTTGCTGATACAGACTAACATGGTTACCACTCTAAAAGAAACCCTTAGTTCTCCATTTCATTGAGGAACACTTGTGTTGGTGGTATTCCTGATAATCTGGATCCTGACTGGATTGAAAATCAACAAGCTCTGCAAAAGGACTGTAAGGATGAAAAGCTATTTTGGACAAAGGAATGTAGCCTGTCAACATTATGTTTAGTCTCTTATAAGCATTTTATTTTTTGTAACCATTTCTGTTTCCATTATTCTTACTCAATACTCACTTAAATCTGTAAATCTGTTTTTGTTAATAAACTTATATTTGTTTTCATCATAAATAATTTACAGTGCTACGTTGTTATAAAGGATCCAATCCTGAATGGTGACTTTCCAGTTGTGTGTACACTGTCTCTTTGGAGACAGCAGACTTGGCAATTACTGAGAGTGTCCAGTGACGGGGGCTGAACACTACAGGAAGATGCTTCTGAGGTGTTTGGGAACTGGAGTACACCAAGTGCTACCTGCATGGCAAAGCGAAAGGCTAACAGAGCTTCTGAGGAGATTGTTTGGGGTGGCTAACAGACTGGGGCGACAGGGAGCTGACATCTAATTTAGCACCAGCAGGTCTGTTTTTCACTTAGGCTCGGTCTACATTCTGGGGTGGGGGGTCGACCTACGATACGCAACTTCAGCTACGCGAATTGCGTAGCTGAAGTTGCGTATTTTAGGTCGACTTACCTGGCTGTGAGGAGTCAACCGCTGCCGCTCTCCTTCGACTTCGCTTCCGCCTCTTGTTGTGTTGGAGTTCCGGAGTCAACGGCAGAGCGATCGGGGATCGATTTTATCGCATCTACACTAGATGCAATAAATCGATCCCCGATAGATAGATCGCTACCCACCGATCCAGCAGGTAGTGAAGACGTGCCCTAAGGCAAGGGGATAACAAGGTAGCCCACAGTCTTAGACATCCCAAGAAACATCACAGTGACAAATTGAAGAAGGCTAATGTTTGCAGTCAAGCATGCTTATATTATGTGTTAGTGAAATACAACTGTGCTGAAAGCAGCAGTAAATAAAAGGAACTGAAACCAAACAGTATGTTTGTATGGACACTTGACCACACAGTGGAATAATCAGAAATGTAACTGTTTGGTTAATAATGTAAAGACTCACCTCCACCATACATATGAAGGTCCAGCTATTATTGTTAAAACAAGGATACCAGAAATGGAATATTTATATAACTGTTCTGACCTGCTGTTCTTGCACGGTTCTTGAAGTGACTTTTGATTGTATAATGAACTGTTAAAACAAGTTTAAAGAGCATCAAAGAATATGGACAGACTTGGTAAAAATTATATGAACTTTAAACTGGACATTTAAGCAGCTAACAGAATGTTGATGCAACTTGAGCAAGTATAACTATAAAATTGGCCAAAGGATACATCCCAGGTGCTAGCATGGACTAATCAGATAGTGACCAATACTTCTTCAGAAGATGTACAATGTCCTTCCAAATGTCCTCTCTCACGATCTAGTCAGAACACCACTTTTTGAGTTCTTGTAAGTGGGACTGGAATTTTCCAGTCTCTTTGTGCAACACATCTTGTTACACTAGTTTGTGTAAGACAAGTTAGGCCATAGCTGTTGGCACATCTATCTTGGGACATACCTTCAATGCTCGAATCCTTTTTGTTTAATTAATTGAAATTAAAAGTACCCTAGGAAAGGTGGTACAGGTAATCAGTTAAGCCGTTGTTTAACTAAGGTCTATTTTATACCTTGTCTTTCTCAGTTTCCATCCTACACTAAGGTTTAGTTGTCCCAACAACATTTTTAAATTAACACCGCACTGAGATTAATGGAACAGGAAGGAGAGTTCTCTAGTGAATAAAATCAATGTAATGTGGAATTCACCCCTAAGCTACTGTTGCTTAGCTGGAGAAAGTTTCCTGAAAACGATGTTAGCACACCAGCTTACAAGGGAATGTTTGAGTCAGTTCCTACAGCCTCAGAGCTTACAAATGCACAGACCTCTCTACACAGGGGGGAATTTCATTCTGAGTGTAGAGTAATCATTGAAGTCCTTAGGGAGAGCCTTATCTTAGCAATGGAAAAAGGAAAACTACTTCACAGGCATTAAAGCTTAATCTCTGTAGGAAGCAGATGTAACTGTAACATGGGGATCTTTATTCATTAGCGTCCCCTTGCAGGGAGCTACACCCACCAAGCTCCATCGCACCCAACTCTAGATTTGTCAAGTCCTTTTCTGGGCCAAGCCCTCTCCTGGCTGGGTCCTCAAAGGTCTCTGTGACTTTTAGAATAATAGTAATAATTTAGCATACTGGGGAAATGGACATTCTGTGTCTCCAATGAGGGCTAAATCAGCCCTAGTTCTCCTGGTTTAGGGCCATCTTCTGGAAGAGTCCCTGGATGGGCTAGGCAGGGTATCCCAGGCCAACCCCCACTCCATTCACTGCATTGCAGCTGGGCTCTTGGTTTGGAATAGCCAGGACTAGTTCCTTGGGGTTCCCTGAACTACTTCCTACCTCTGTAGTCTTCCTCAGTGTCTCCCTCTTAGGTGCGTTGGTCTGTCTGGCAGCTTCTCACCAGTCTTCCTAGCAGCCACCACAATCCTCTGCCTTGCAGCCCTTTCATCTGCACAGCTGTTGGGGCTCTGGATGAGCTGGAAGGCAGATGCTTTGTTAATCCTTTAGCTGCTGAACCTGAACACGATATACAGACCCCATGACAGGAATACCGTAGCTACCAAGATAGATTATTCATATAAGTGTCTTCTATTGCAATAATATAGTCACCATGGAAACTAATTGATTGGAACTAAAATGTTGGGGTCAAATACTTCCATGCAAACTGACAGCCCCAAAATAAACAATACAATTTTTCATTAACTTTCCTGTACTCCCTTCAGAAACAATGCAAACACCGGCATTCAAAACAAGCTCACCAAGTTTGTAGATGATACTAAAACTTGAGGCAGAACAAATAAGGAGGAACAATGCAACCTGATTTAAAGGATTTGAATCATTTAAGTGATTGCTCCAACAGATAGCAAAAGCAGTTCAGCACAGATAATTGCAAAATAATTAGTCTGGAAGCAAGGAACTGAGCCAGAGAAAGTGTGCTAAATGGGACAATTATACAGCACACTGAACAGGAAAAGGATTTGGGGGGGTTAGTGTGGAAAAGTCATGGAAACTATTGGCTCGGTGCAAAGCTGTAGGGAAAAGAACACAGAATACTTACTTATATTAGCAGTTGCAGAACCAAACAATTGATGCTGTTACTTTATGAGGCATTTGTTAGACTCCATCTAGAACACTGTGCATAATAATGTTCCCTATTCTTCAAGGAGGACGATGTGACTAAACTTGCAAACTTATGCAACTTATAAAGGAAGCTCTCCTACCAATAAGGTCTTGTCTGCACACACAGATTGTACCACTTTATCTATACCAGTACAGTTAAAACGCCCAACCCCCTGTGACATCCTGTACCCCATGTTCACCATTTTATGCAAAGTATGCCTTATGAGGTATCATTGCATTGATGTTGCACACATTTCAACAGGATAATAATATTCAGTAGATTATGAGTTTTCAAATGGTACTCACAAGGCATACTTTGTACAAAATATATCATAACCATATAAAAGTAGTGAACATGGGGTACAGGGTGTCACACACCTCTCCCACCCTCCCAATATGGATGCAATTGTATCAGTATAATGGTGCTTCATAGTAATATAGCTATTCCTGCACAGGAATAGGAATAATCTGTATTGGTATAATGCGCCTTATAATTCTATCCACACTAGGTGTTGTACTGATATAACTATTTTTAAAAAAATCACTCTCCTCACTGAAATATTCATACCACTATAAAAAATGTACACAGGTCAGGCCTTAGAATTGGAAATGCTGGAAGTTAGTTTTCAGTATTGCTAAGCCAAAACATTAAAAAATCATAAGTCAGGTCCCCAAAATCATGTGATTGGCTTAAAAATCATAACATTTAAAAATAAATTTCTCATCTTGGTTTTTCAGCATTTAGATTACATTCGGGCCACATTTTCATTTGTTTCCCAGTGACCATGAGGACTAGAAACTTTTTTTTTTAATGCAAGCTGAGTTTCTCAAGAAATCACATTCCTCCAGCAATTGAGCCTTGAAGAAAAATATCAGCTATTGCAAGATTCCCAGTAAAATTGCAAGATTCAGCAACACTGAATTTTAGTTTAGATGTCAAGAGTTTAAGAGTACTAATGTGAAGTAATAGTGCCTCCTATCCTGATAAAGTGTTAAGACAGCCCATGTGAGTCAATGGAGCCACTCACATGAGTAAATGTTACAACAGTAAGGATGCAGAATCAGGTCCTTACAGGCCCATGCTGTGTAAGTGCATTTGAAATAATAAGGTGTTACAGTAAGGTGCAAAATCTGTTAAGTGGCTACCCTTTGTACTGACTCCTGGACAGAAGGGCTTTGAAGCCAGCAGGAGGAAGCAATCCTCCAAACCACTTAACCAGAGATCATAAGAGCATTTGAAGAGAAGCAGGTACAAATAGGACTAACTTTTCGTGTCTGTGTTTGTTAAGGGCAGACTTTCCTGAATCTCTAAAGTTTTACATTTAAACATACTAGATATTTAGTAGTCACTTCTGTCCAGAATTGTTTCTTCAGGGGCTCCGCATATAAATAAGCAATGCAGATCATAGATTCCAAGGCCAAAAGGGACCACTGTGATCCTCTACTCTGACCTCCTGTGCAACATAGGCCAGAGAACTTCCCCTTTTGAAACAGAGCATATCTTATTTAAAAACAAACAAAAAAACCCACCTTAATTTAAACATTGCTAGTGATGGAGAATCCACCACCACCCTTGGTAAATTGTTCCAATGGTTAATTACCCTCACTGTTAACTTGTCTGTGTCCTTTCATTTATTTCCTAAAGAAATGAAGTCACCACCCTCTCCTTCTGTCTAAAGTTTCTGGCTGCTTAGTTAGCACACTAATGCTCAGCAAAGGGAAAAATTTCATTTCAGAGACATTTCTGCAGGGTTTTTGTTCTATTTATATCACTTTTCTCTCATTTAGATTTCATTAATACTATCAGAACTCCTGTTAGAACCAATGGGTATTTTCTGTGTAAGTAAGGAAGTAAGTAACCCTAAGTGATGGGATAGGTTAGGTTAGGTGGGCATCAATTCATTGGAAAAGAATCAAAGTGAATTAATACACATTTTTTCAGAATTGTGAAAGAGATTGGTAAATGTGATAGGACAAATTATTTACACTGTGCAAGAGTTTGGAAACTATGCATGCGTGGGCCAGATACATCTCAAGTTACACTAACATGAAAATGAAGTAACGCAGTGGAGAACCAGATCTATAACCTAAAGTTTATGAAACAGACTCAATGAGAGTAGTGCAGTTTAATGATTAGAGTAGAGGACTGAAACTCAGAACTCTGAGGTTCTGTTTGCATTGGTGTTTGCCTTGGGCAAATCATTTCAACTTCATGTGCCTCAGAAAAGATAATATTTATATACAGTATGTTGCAGGACTGTTGTGAGGCTTAAGTAATTAATATATATAAAGCACATTCAGGCCCTCAGATGGAAAGCACTTGAACTATATTAATTATGCATTTTATATTATAATTGAATAAGAAACTTCCATAGAACAATTTCAAGCTAACGAAAGGCAAAAAGATGCTTCCAATTACCAGACCATTTATTATTTTATAAATGGTTATCATCCTTCCTATTGATCTGCTTTCTAAGGTAAGCAAGGCCCATCTTTTCAATCTCTCTTCATATGAAAGTTTCCACAGCCATAATAATTTTACTTAATGTCTCCGAGCCCCCTCTAATTCTTCAATGTCCTTCAAGATGGAACAGCCAATACTGCACACCATATTCCAGATAAGACCCAGTGCCTGGTTCATATAATTGCATTTTTTTCTGTATTTTCTCCCATCTTGTTCCTTAGGCATTCTAATATCTTAGGTTGGTGGTGGGGTTTGGGTTGGGTTTTTTTTTTTTTTTTGGGGGGGGGAGGGGGAAGGGGTTACCACAGCTGCACATCCAGCTTGTGCTGGCTAATGCTCTTATTCTGGGGGCAAAAAAGGTTTAAACAGACCAACCTTATGGAAATGCTGAAGCCACATTTTTTAAATTCTAATTATAAATCCAAAGGAAACATAGGTTGCTTAATAAAGGAGAAGGTTTTGAGTCAGCCTTTAGAAATCCTTACTCTGTGTCATAAAATATAACCATGTATATAACTTTTATTTTCAGTTCTTAAACTCATTAAAACAGTTTATTAGCAGTGGAGCTGTAGAAGATTTCATATGTCATAAAAAGCAAATGTGTGCAGTTTCAGCATGGAAGTTAAGGCCCGTTAGATAACAACAGATTAGCTAACCCACAAAAAAGAATGAAAATAAAAAAAAACAACTTTTTTTTTGTTTTTATCTGAAGATTTCTTCAAAACTGTATAGGTTTTCATTGAAATCTGAAAATGTCTTGGTTTTGGTTGCCAAAAACCAATAAAAATAAATAAATACGTCTGGTTTTCTCTGAAATTTCAGTTTTGTCAAAAAGTCACTTGGCATCAAAAATATATTTAGTGAGAAAACTTTCAACCAGCTCTAGTCCATACCAATATCCTTTCTCATCTACTTGTACTGTACCTCTCTCACCCAGGCATATGCACACCCACCTCTTGGAGCTGAACTGTTCTATTTTACTCAATGTTTCTGTGATTTCTGTAGTATGATCACAATGAACAGAAGACCAGTAACTGAATAAAGAGATTTTACCATCTCGCTGCTCTTTGGTCTGTGTTTATTTCATTAAGAAACTACCACCACAACCAATACTGATTGGTCCCTCTCTTTGAAGATGCCAAATACTGATGGGAATGCATGTTCAACTAACTTCTCTGGGATTTAGGCCTAGTTTACACTTAAAATTTAGGTCAACGTAGATATGGCACTAAGGTCTGTGAAAAATCCACATCTCATAGCTATGCCGACCTAACTGTTGTGTAGATGCAGCTAGGACTATGGAAGAATGTTTCAGTCAACCTAGCTAGAATGCTTCTTTCAACCTAGCAACCCTCACTTGGGGAGGTGGTGTTCCTACTGCAACAGAAAAATGCCTTCCATCACTGTAGGCTGCAGCTACACTACAAGATTAGATATGGACGGGCCGGCTCCAGGGTTTTGGCCGCCCCAAGCAGTCAAAAAAAAAAAAAAAAGCCGCGATCGCGATCTGCGGTGGCAACTTCGGCGGAAGGTCCTTCGCTCCGAGCGGGAGCGAGGGACCGTCCGCTGAATTGCCGCCAAATAGCTGGACCTGCCGCCCCTCTCCGGAGTGGCCGCCTCAAGCACCTGCTTGCCAAGCTGGTGCCTGGAGCTGGCCCTGGATATGGCGCTATAACTACACTGCTATAATCCCTGTAGTATTGGCATAGCCGTAGTCTTTTCAGTGCAGAATCTGGTTTCCAACATCATAAATAATGGTGTTACGACAGATGTAGCCAAGTGACATTGTAATACATAATCTTTCAAGTTCTTTCTCTTAATGTCTGAGCAATCTTGGGAAGACATGGTGAGTTGTGCATAATTTTTGTTATGCATAGTTTTTGGAATGCAAGC